TGTTTTTTGGTGTTTTTTTTTTTTAGTTGGAGTCTCACTCTGTCACCCAGGTTGGAGTGCAGTGGCATTCTCATGGCCACTGCAACCTGAACCTGCTGGGCTCAGGTTATCCTTCTGCCTCAGCTTTCCAAGTCACTGGAACCACAGGCATGCACCACCATACCTGGCTAATTTTTTAATTTATTATAGAGATGAGGCCTCACTATGTTGCCCAAGCTGGTCCTGAACCCTGACTAAGCTCAGGCAATTCCTCTCACCTCCACCTCCCAAAGTGCTGGGGTTACAGACGTGAGCCTCCATATCCGATTGAAATGTTCCTTTGTTTTGAGTCAGGTTCTCACTCTGTTGCCCAGGCTGACTGGAATGGCATGATCCCAGCTCACCGCAGCCTCCACCGCCTGGGTTCAGGTGATCCTTCCATCTCAGCCACCCAAATAGCTGGGACTACAGACGTGCACCATGATCATGGGCCCAGATAATTTTTTAATTTTTTTTGTAGAAATGAGGCTTCACTATATTACCTAGGCTGATCTCAAACTCCTGAATTCAAGTGATTCTCCCACCTCAGCCTCCCAAAGTGCTAGGATCTTAGGTGTGAGCCACCACACTGTCAAAATGTTCCTTTAAAAAAGTTTTTTTTAAAAACTTTTAAATTATATGGCTGCCGGGCACAGTGGCTTACACCTGTAATCCCAGCACTTTGGGAGGTGGAGGTGAGAGGACTGCCTGAGCAACATGGTAAGACCTCATCTCTACAATAATTTTTTTTTTTTAAATCAGCGGTGTGTGGTGGCACATGCCTGTGGTTCCAGTTACTTGGAAGGCTGAGGCGGAAGGATGACCTGAACTCAGCTGGTCCAGGCTCCTGTGGCCATGAACATGACACTGTATTCCAGCCTGGGCAACAGAGTGAGACTCTGACTCAAAATGAAAAAAACAAAAACCCAGCCAAACAAAAATAAATTATAAGGCCTAATGACATAGTGCTATTTTATATTTATTGACATCATTTGGGAAAATTCATTACTTTTTTTAAAGCTTTGAAAATGACTTAAACTAAAACTAACCTTTTCCAGAGGTAATCTTTGAAGTACTAAAGAAAAGGCTGCCATGCTGAAGATCCATTGTTTCTCCCTTCAATTTGTCCGACATAACATCAACAAGGACAAGTTCATCAGCCAAATTCTAAAACACATAAAAGTTTTAAGTAACATGTTTTAGAAAATTTTCATACTTAAATTTTAGGAGAATGAGAAAAATTTTCATATAGATACTTAATTTTTAAAAGAATCTCTTTTTTTGTTGTTTATTTGTTTGAGTTGGCATCTCACTCAGTTACTCAGGCTAGAGTGCAGTGGCATGCTCATGGCTACTGCAGCCTCGGTCTGCTGGGCTCAGGTGATCCTTCCACTTCAGTCTTCCAAGTAACTGGAACTACAGGTGCATGCTACTACACCCAGCTTATATTCTGATTTATTACAGAGACGAGGTCTCACCAGTTGCCCAGGCTTGAACCCCTGAGCTCAGGCAATCCTCTCACCTCGGTCTCCCAAAGTACTGGGATTACAGGCTTGATGTTTGTTTTTAAAGAAGAGGTTTTGTTATGTTGCCCAGGCTGGTCTCAAACTCCTGAACTCAAGTTATCCTCCTTGCCTCAGCCTCCCAAAATGCCAGGATTACACGCATGAGCCATCGTGCCCTGCCTCGAGTTTTTAATAGAGAAAAAATGGTATAATAATAGTTTTGGGGCCAGGCTCGGTGGCTCAGCCTGTAATCCCGTGCTTTGGGAGGCCGAAGTGAGTGAATTGCCTGAGTCCGCAGGTTCGAGACCCGCCTGGGCAACTCGGCGAGACCTCATCTTTACAATAAATCAAAAAAAATTAGCTGGGCATGGTAGCATGCACCTGTAGTTCCAGCTACTTGGAAGGCTGAGGCAGAAGGATCACCAGAGCCCAGCAGGTCGAGGCTGCGGTGGCCGGGAGCGTCCCATTACACTCCAACCTGGGCGACAGAGTGAGACTCCAACTCAAAAAAAAAAAGTTTTTGAATGAATGACTAGAAGTCATGATAAACATTCCAGATACAGCAAAAATTTGTAATTGTTTTGGCTTCACATAACTGTTAGAACTTATTAGAGTTGGACTTTTTACCCTTAGGTAATTTTTTTTTTTTTTTAAAGATGTAGGGTATTTTTTTTTTTTGAGTTGGACTCTCACCCTGTCGCCAGGCTAGAGACCAGTGGCACGCTCATGGCCACCCCAGCGTCAACCTGCTGGACTCCAGCGATCCTTCCACCTCAGCCTTCCAAGTAGCTGGAACTACAGGCGCATGCTACCATACTAGGCTAATTTTTTATTTATTGTAGAGATGAAGTCTCGCCAAGGTGCCCGGACTGGTCTTGAATTCATAGGGTCAGGCAATCCACTCGCCTTGGCCTCCCAAACTGCTGGGATTACAGGCTATGCTAATGAATCTGGCCTTTAGGTAATAATTTAAAGCTAAGGGAAAGTAATAAAATCCTTTCAAAAAAAATTTTTTTTTGAGTGGAAGTCTCACTCTGTTGCCCAGACTGGAAGGCAGGGGCATACTCACGGCCACCGCAGTCTTGACCTGCTGAGCTCAGGTGATCCTTCTGTCTCAGCTATCCAAGTAGCTGGAAATATAGGCATGCGCCACCATGCCCAGCAACTTTTTTGATTTACTGTAAAGATGAGGCCTCGCCAAGTTGCCCAGGCTGGTCTCGAAACTGTGGGTTTAGGCAATACTCTTACCCTGGCCTCCCAAAATGTTAGGATTATAGGCATGAGCCACTGTGCCCGGCCTCAAATAATTTTACTATATTTAACCTCAAGCCTAATTTCTGAATTAGCTAAAGCTGATTTTAGTATGCGTCCTTATGGCCAAAATAGAAAGGTAACCACCTGTGGTGAACACCTATTGTTTTCACCTATTTAGTATTCCTTTTTCTGGTAACAGAATTCCTCTTTTCTATGGGAATCCATTCCATGTGGCTCAGAGCAGTACAGTTAATATTGGTCCTCCAACCTAGGAGTAGATGAACATAATACCAAACCCAGCCAATTGTTCCATCCTTTCCTTCTTTTTTTTTTTTTTTTAGTTG